AGATTGATGGCCGTCACACATCGTTGATTTGAAAGCTACTCACCAGAGGTAGGGAGAAGAAATGGGGTGTACCTACAAGACACTCCGATGCCAAAGTAAGTAAGGGGCCAGAGTGAAAGCAAATACAGAAGTTAGGTGTATAGAATTGAATACCTGATCCTCTAGTGAAAGAGGGTATTTATAGTGAGACCCCAACGCAGGGCCAATGGTCACTTGCGTTGGGCTGGATGGCCAAATCCAACCCAAGTGATTGCTAAGGCTTACGTGGTGTAGTGAAGACCAGCACGTGGTCTTCACCCTAGATCAACTGTCCTGTGATCTCCGAAAGGTGCGCTGACCTGCTCTTTCGGAGGTGCGCAGTTACCTGATGACGTGTCCCCGCGGGGGGAGCATGTGGAGAACGTGTGGAAGACGTGTTGTTCTGCCCGACGAGGGGAGATGTCTGCCCGGTGTGTCTAGAACTGTGCCCGACACTAGGTGATTTGGACCTTGTTGGGCCTTCCCCAAATAGTGTTGGGTTGGGCCTGCCCGACGGATGAGCGGGCCTGGGCCCAGTCCAGAATAATATGAACATGTTTTTTTGTCTTCTATATCCCCTAATACAAATCCTATTTTAATTTTATGTATTTCTTTCAAGAAGGCACTAGGTAGCATAAAGTTCACCATTGGATAAAGTGGAATTGCCTAAATAACTGACTTGGCCAAAGTAGTCCTTCTTGTAAAGGATAAGAGTTTCCCTTTCTAAGATGCAAGTTTAGCTTTGACCGGTTCAAGAAGGTACTGGCAATATTTCGTATTAGGTTTTCTATCAGTTAATGGAACCCCCAGGTAGTCACCAAGGTGGTTTATTTCCTTGAAACATGAGGCATTAATGCATGAATGGTGGCTCTTCTAGTGTGATATTTAGTTTTTTTGGAGAATAAAATCTTGGTTTTCTCTGCACAAATCCTTTGGTCTAACATAACATAAAACTTGTTTAAAACATTAATATCATGCTCAATTTACTTGTTAGTGGCTTTTCCAAACAGAAGGAAATCATCAACAAACATTAGATGGAAAATACTAGGGTCTTTCCTTCCAACTTTCAGGTTGTCCCAATTTCCTTTATTCACTTATTGAGTGATTGGGTGAGATAATTTATCCATGCAAAACACAAAGAGATAAGAGGAATATGATCCCCTTGTCTCAAGCCTTTCTCGGGACAGAAGAAATCATTTCCTACTCAATTCTAGAGGACATTCACTTTAACAGAAGTATGAAGGCAAAAATAACTTTAATAAGCTTATCAGGTAGACCTACTTCTCTCCTAAAACTACTTATAAGCTTCTAGTTCAACTTACCATAGTCCTTAGCTAAATCAACTTTTATGACAAAATCCCTTTTTTCCTTTAAGATTATTCATGGTATGAAGTATTTCTTGAGCTACAACTATGTTTTCATGTATGCTTCTACTAGGAACGAAGCCAATTTGATTAGGAGAAACTACTTTATCAATGTAAATGTTGAGTCAATTGACTATAACTCTACTCAAAATTGTATACATTATATTGTGAAGGGATTTGAGCCTAAATTGATGGACAATTATGATCATATCAACTACATAAAGAATCTGAATTACAATATCACAATCACTTATTCGAGTGAATATATCAGAATTATGTGGACTAGATAGAAAACCAAATTGTGTTAGAGTAGAACTAAACATGGTAAACCGGAATCTAAAAGCTTATTTCAAACCATATAAGACTTTTTAAAGCTTACTGACCTTATGAGGAGAATGATAACATGAAAGAGGGTGCATATAAACATCCTTTGTCAAGTCACCGTGAAGGAAGACATTTTCTACATCCATTTGGAAAAGCTTACATTTGTGTACTCTAGCAATGACCAAAAGACTACAAACATGTGTTATTCGAGCTACCAGAGAAAATGTCACTTTGTAGTCTATCCAATACTCATAAGTGAGCGCTTTGGCTACTAGGCTAGATTTATAACATTCTACAATTCCATTAGAATGAGTTTTAATTTTGTATATCCATTTGCATCAAATAAGAATCATGCGTTGAGGAAGATCAACTATGTCCCATGTATGTGTCTTTTTCAATTCTTGAATTTCTTTATCCATAGTTTTCTACCAAGTAGGTAAGTACTTGCCTCACGATAAAAAGAAAACTCATGAAGAATTTTAATAGAAGAATAACAAAAATAATCATTAAGATGGGGAGGTGGATTACTTACTATGTATAACGACGAGATGCTGGTATAGTATCAACATTTGAAATAGGTTAAGTGGGTGCAGGTGAGGGCAGACGAGTATTAAGCTAATCAGAGTTATTTGCATTAGGACTTAGAAACAACTCAACCAAGGGGTAAATGAAATAAAAAGAGTCAATGATAAGATAACAACGAAATGTAGACAGAGAGGAGAGCATGGTGTTTTTCCAAAAGGCAATAAGACGTAATATGCTTAATATGTTGGAGATTGAATCCTAACAACACTATCTTTTGTGTTTCGTGCCATAAAGAAAACCACAAACAAGCACATGGTTGTAATTTTGTGTGCTTATGGGGCTGCAATAGAACAAAATAAGCACATCTGAACGATTTAAGAATGAAATTCATGAGGCTTACTAAACAAATTTTTAAAAGTAGATAAATTTTGAAGATGTATGATGAAAAGTTGATTAATTGTATATACAACATTTAAAATTGCTTCCCTCTAAATTTTTTTTTGGACACGAGGTTGGTTGAAGAAGAACAAGAACTTAGTTAAGGATGTGACGATATTTTCGTTCAGCCCAACCATTTTGTTGGGATGTTTGAGGACATGAGCGTTGAACTGCAGTGCCTTGATGACAGAGAAATTGAAGCAAGGAATAATCACGATATTCCACCACATTGCTTATGATTTTTTGAATAGCAATATCCAAAGAAGGAAACAAATTTCGATGCAGTAGTGAGGCTTGTACAACTTCATATTCGGGCCGAAGAGCCATAGCGACTCGAATGAGATGAAAATGGTTTTCACTGATTCTGGCCAGAGATATTTAATGCCAAGTTGGTTAGACTTGAGCAAGAAAATCATTAATTGATTAACCATGTTCTTGCTTGATATTGAGAAGTATGACCCACAATTGATAATAACGAGGAAGATGAGTGGTCTAAACAAATTTTCAAGAAATTCCAAATTTCTTTTGTTGAATCATAGTTATCAAATTGAATGTGAATAGATGATACAAATGTGTTGCGCAACCACACAATGATCTGATGATTTTTTTCTATCATAATCGTCAAGATGATTGACAAGTTTTGTACCAAATTCATCTTTTTCTCAAAGGTTAAAGCGAATCACATAACTCTTCATTCCTTGAACATAAAGATTATAGTTTGATACATTCAAAGAAATTGTAATAGGTTTAACAAACTCAATTTTTTCTATAATGTAGAGATGAAAAACAAAAAAAAAAAACACACACACACACATACATATATATATATATATATATATATATATATATATATATATATATATATATATATATATATATATATATATATATATATATATATATATATATATATATATATATATATATATATATATATATATATATATATATATATATATATATATATATATATATATATATATATATATATATATATATATTTTATTTTTTTTATTTTTTTTGAATATGTAAATTTCCTATAATAAAGCTTTAATTTCCTATACCTAATAGGTAGTATTCCTATAATTTCTCTTAACAAATACAATGTTCAAATAAAAACACCATCATTAAGAAAACAATATATGCTCTAATAATTAACCACAAACACAATGTTCAAATAAAACACAAACACTTAATGCTGGTCAATATTCCAAATTATTGAGTTAGACCAAATATAGACATAAAATTAGTAAAAATTCTTGGTAATTAAGAATAAACACAATGTTCAAATAAAACACCATCATTAGCAATAAAATGGTAGTATGCTGTCATAGTTAACCACAAACACTATCCAAAATGTGGGCTCGTAGTAACCCTATATAGCCTTTCAATTACATGCATCCTTTCCTATACTATGCTTAGCCCTCTTATTCTAGTCAACACATACACAGTTTCCTCCATTCGCAATTTATCATCTTGAAGCCAACCAAAACAAATCATACTCGAATTTGCATAAAAGAGAGACGCATACGCATGGCAAACAATCTCAAACATGCTTTATCACTTTTAACAATATAACAATAAATAAACACTAGTAGTATGATACTAGTATAGATAGAATGAAGTAACAACACAAGACTAATTATAGTTCTCCACTCTTGTCATGCTTTATCATAAATATTCTTAACTACATTTTTTAATTAAATATGTAAATAAATGCCACGTGTAGAGAGAAAAATGATTATGCTACATGGCATCACCCCCAAAAAGAGAGTAATGTTGGACCCACCCAACTTTGACCAAAAAAACGGGGTTTTTTTTGCTTTGCCAATTGCCAGTCACGTCACTTTCCACGTTATAGCGCCATTGCGTTTTTGACTCCATTTTTTCGGGCAGCGGTCACCACCGTTCGGGCACTTTCACGCCTCCATCAAACAGATAACAACTTACACTCTCTCACCACCCGAAAGAGAAACTGTGTCTACTCTCTACTGTCTACCTTTCTTTTTCAGAAACTCAAACATTTTACTTTTTTTTTTTTTTTTGATATTATTATTTTTATAATAATTTCACTCTAAATAAAATCTTTATAGTTTTGATTGACAGTGTGATACTTTTTGGTTTTTAATAAAAAGTTTATTTATTTTTTGGTACAAAAAAGTGTTTTCTGACGAGATCGGGTTCTGAGTGTAGTGTGAGATTTGGGGGTTAGGGTTTATGCTCATTTTGATTTGTTGTGGCGGTGGCGGTGGCGGAGCTGGAGGTTTGTGATGGTTTATTCTAGTGTTGGTTTTTGTTTGGATCTGAGGTTATTTACTACATAATATTCAAATGGAGACAAAGTTATGTGCTTTTGCTTTTATTTCGGAGGTTTTGTTTTTGTTGCTTCTGAATCCACTATGCTTGATTTCTGCTAACATGGAAGGTTTGTATTCATTTCATTTTTTTTTGTGTGTGATTTGAGAACTTTTTTTTTTTGCTTTGTCTCTTTTTTGTTTTAATGTGTTTGGTTAATGTAAATGTGGTTATTTTTTCTCCTTGATTCCTGGTTGTGTGAAAAAGGGTTGATGTTTGGTCTTTTAATTCCTCTTTGCTTGTGGATTTGTAGTTGGAATGTTGTGGAATTTATCGGATTGAACCATCATTGTCATTTATTCATTTTTGGGATGATAAGTTCTCAGAAGATTTTAGACATCTTGAGTCATGTAGTGGCTATTATGTTCTTTACAGGACCTGATTATGTGTTGTTGTGTTTTGGGGCAGGTGATGCTTTACATAACTTAAGGACAAATTTACAAGATCCTAACAATGTTCTGCAGAGTTGGGATCCTACACTTGTTAATCCTTGCACATGGTTTCATGTAACCTGCAACAATGATAATAGTGTTATTAGAGTGTAAGCTGGTTGTTCCTTGATATTGCAACTTATATCACCGTGTTGTTTGAATAGCTTTTCGTATAGAAGATAAATTTTCTAATCTTCCTTTTGTTCTTTCCGTTTGTCTAATGTCAGGGATCTGGGAAATGCTGCTTTATCTGGCACACTTGTTCCACAGCTTGGTCAACTCAAGAATTTGCAGTATCTGTATGTTGTGCTTTGATATTTTTGATGTTCCAATGTTGTTTTCCTTTTAGCATTTAATCTTCTAAGGGTTTGGTTAGTGAAGTGGTGACAATTGCTTCAGTGTTCCTGTTTCGTTGGTTTTTTCTATTTGATACAATACTCTTTTTTCTGGTAGTTGCATTAGAGTTGTTTAAGATAATGAAGAGTTGAATGAGTTTCTTTTGAAGTTGAACTACTAGTTGATGATGTTTATCTGCCTACGACCCCATCCTGGTTTTAAATGATTAGTTTCATTATTTCAATGTTGTCTGGAACATGGTATTCAGTTATGCTGGTTTAAATTACCATGCAAGTCAGTTAAACGAATCCAATTTTGTGCATTTGAAGCTTATAAAAAATGAACTTCAGTTTCACTGTATCACTATTTTATTTCCAAAAAACTCTATCCTTTTGCAACTGGGTTACTCTTGTACATAAGACTGGTCATGCTCCTGGAATTGCGAAACGCCTTCACTGATTGAACTATCATGGAAGTTTTATGCAATGCTGATTTTACAAACTATTGATTTAAATATATTATTTATCCTCTATTTTTATGTATGATAGGGAGCTTTACAGTAATAACATTACCGGTCCTATTCCAAGTGACTTGGGGAATCTTACTAACTTGGTGAGCTTGGATCTGTACCTAAATAAATTCACTGGCCCTATCCCAGATTCATTGGGCAAGTTGTCAAAATTGCGTTTTCTGTAAGTGCACCTATTGTTGATTGTTTGTTCTATACTTTTATCTATTTTGTGGACATGCTTTAAACTTGTTTCTCGCAAAAACATTCTTCAAAGATGCTTATTTTATGTTAAATATGATTTATGTTGGTGTGTTTGATAAAAAGATTTTGTTATCAAGATTGATATTAATACTGTTTCCTGGAATGTCTGTCTAAGGATAGCCGGCTTAATAACAACAGCTTGATGGGTCCTATTCCCATGTCACTGACTAATATTACAGCTCTCCAAGTTCTGTGAGTTCTTTTTAATGTCTAACTGTGCACATGATTTACTTTTTATCATTACTTTACAATAATAACATTTATATCATATTCATCAAATGCAGGGATTTGTCTAATAACCAACTCTCAGGCGTGGTTCCCGATAATGGCTCCTTCTCATTATTCACTCCGATCAGGTTCCTACTGAACTCTGTTCTATTTTTACATTCTTTGACTCTGCTTGCAAAACTTCTCTATATTGGCATCCTTTCTGCTTACAGTTTTGCAAACAACTTGAATCTATGCGGACCAGTCACTGGGCACCCTTGTCCAGGCTCTCCACCGTTTTCTCCGCCTCCCCCTTTTGTCCCTCCACCCCCAATTTCTGCCCCAGGTAATCTTTCTGATGCGATTAATCTTAAGATATATAACGATCTAGCTATCGTTTATACCTGATTGCCTTATACCTATCTGAAAGAAGTAATGCTAGAAACTTCGCTTATTTCTAATTGTAGGAACTGGAGGTGCAACTGGAGCGATAGCTGGAGGAGTTGCTGCTGGTGCTGCTCTATTATTTGCCGCGCCTGCAATTGCATTTGCATGGTGGCGTCGAAGGAAACCGCAAGAGTTTTTCTTTGATGTTCCTGGTGAGTGAGCTATCCTAGTTGAATGACTACTACATTGGTTTAACTCATTTCATGGATAGAATTTAACTTCCTTGCATACCCTTGCAGCTGAAGAGGATCCTGAAGTTCATCTTGGGCAGCTCAAGAGGTTCTCACTACGAGAGTTGCAAGTTGCAACCGATACTTTCAGCAATAAAAACATTCTTGGAAGAGGAGGGTTTGGTAAGGTGTACAAAGGACGTTTGGCAGACGGCTCACTGGTTGCTGTCAAAAGATTGAAAGAAGAGCGGACACCTGGTGGGGAGCTTCAGTTTCAGACTGAAGTAGAGATGATTAGCATGGCTGTGCATAGAAATCTCCTCCGTTTACGTGGGTTTTGCATGACACCAACTGAAAGGTTACTTGTTTATCCCTACATGGCTAATGGAAGTGTTGCCTCCTGTTTAAGAGGTAGATCTCTATTCTCCGTTCTAAGTTTCTTGGGAAAGCCTCTAGACTATACGCGTCTTGGGTCTGTTTGGAATGACTTATGACTTATTTGAGATTATATGCTAGTATAACTGTTTGGGAGAGCTTATGAAAACTACTTATTATGACGTGCTCATAAGTTGATTTCAGCTTATTTTTACAAGCTCTCCACTATAGCTTATAAAAACTACTTATAGTTTATGTTGAAAATAATTTGACATTGTTTCATCTCTTGGTCTAGAAATAGCTTATACATATGTGCTTATGCTACAACTACTTAATTGAATCGTTTATCCATATAGGGCCTTATCCTGATTAATTGCAATTTGATTGTTTATATTTATGCTCAACACAACATTTATTTAGTATTAATTATACTTGAAATTTTTGTGTTTGCATTATTCTAGAGCGTCCTCCACATCAAGAACCGCTAGATTGGCCAACAAGGAAAAGAATAGCTTTGGGATCAGCAAGGGGTCTTTCATATTTACACGATCATTGCGACCCAAAGATCATTCATCGTGATGTGAAAGCTGCTAACATATTGTTGGATGAGGAGTTTGAGGCTGTTGTCGGAGATTTCGGATTGGCAAAACTTATGGATTATAAGGACACCCATGTGACAACGGCTGTACGTGGTACAATTGGGCATATAGCTCCCGAGTACCTATCTACTGGCAAATCTTCGGAGAAAACAGATGTTTTTGGTTATGGTATCATGCTTCTTGAGCTTATCACTGGACAAAGAGCTTTTGACCTTGCCCGGCTTGCAAATGATGACGATGTTATGCTGCTTGATTGGGTATGTCCAGTGCAAATGCATATCCTTCTGTTTTTTGTTTATTATATACTTTACTTGTTCAATCGAATTTCGTTTATGCAACCCTTTAACAATTGTGCACTTGACTAATCATATTGATAGGTAAAAGGACTTCTGAAAGAGAAGAAGCTTGAAATGTTGGTTGATCCCGATCTTCAAACCAACTACATAGAAGCAGAGGTAGAACAATTAATCCAGGTTGCACTGCTCTGCACGCAAGGTTCGCCTATGGACCGGCCTAAGATGTCAGAAGTGGTGAGAATGCTTGAAGGGGACGGGCTGGCAGAAAGATGGGACGAGTGGCAAAAAGGGGAAGTTCTACGGCAAGAAGTGGAACTGGCACCTCATCCCAATTCAGATTGGATTGTTGACTCTACTGAAAATCTACACGCAGTTGAATTATCTGGTCCAAGGTGACCCTGTCACAGTAGTAATGAGCGGAATTATTTGTGACTTATTTTTTTTAACTAAAAGTTTTCTCACTTTTTTCTTTCTTTTTTTTTTGGTTCCTTCAAGTACCATATCCTAATTACAGCTCTTGTAAGTCCACTGCATTATATTCAATTACATTTGTGCATAGGGGTCGCTTTGTCAAGTTACAATTTGTATCATCTGCTGCTGTTTGATGAAGTGATGTTTACTTAGATGAATATTTTTGTACACCCTTGTTTCATGCTTGTTCAAATTATGATAAAATGCATTAGAGTGGAACATCCCTTAAGACCGGTTCTTGCCAATGACACATCTGATGTCATTTTCTATGCCCTGTGTGAATCAGGGTGAGGGAGGAACAATGAGAAACAGGACTAGTTCTATTAAGAATAGTATTTTGTGGGATATACATTACTCCCTCCGTTTAAAATGATGTTAAAAGTTTTTGTACACATATTAAAGAATGTAGTGGAGAGAATAATAATTAAAGAACACAAATAAATAGTCATCATTTCTACATTGTAAAATGAGAATTACATATATTTGGAAATAAGTTTTTTTCTTCTAAAACCATAATTATTTTACAACAGAGGGAGTATATATTTTCCATTACATTTTTAAAACTTAATAAATGTAAATATGAATCACGACAAAAACAAATTATTGCTTTTAGTCCGTTTTGGTTTTTGTTTTTAAATGATTTACAAAGTCATTTTTACTTTTGATTATTACTTTGAAAAATGTAATATTAGAATTATTATTGTTCAATCGAAAAAATTTTGATTTACAAATTATTATGTAAATGGAAACTTTGACTATTCTTATATTTTTAATTATTGCACTCTAATCAAGTGTATATTACAATCAATTTAAAAGCATATTGTTGTTTTGTTCGGGAATCATATATGGGAAGTTTGAGGATGGTGATGATAGATTGTTGTTTTTGGCATGGAATGAGATAATACTTTAACGATCAAGTCAATATGGGAAGAAAAAAAGTGAAATGAAATTGTACATGAAATTTGTTACCTGATTTTGGTGTATTTTTTATATATAATAGAGAGAGAATAACTAATTTGCTATTAGCTAGAAATGATTGCGGAGAGTTATTGGGTGCTTTATAATTGAGATCTTTGATGATCATTATAATGATAATCTTCGCATATTACGAAGATTCTAGAAGAAATGGGATCTTTGTCTGGTTGTTGGTCGAAATCTGTGTGGTTTGCAGAAATTTATCTGGGGTCTGTTTGACCAGCCCAGAACAGTCGCCCATAAGCCCTTACCGTCATGTAGGAAGGCGGGGGGCTTGATCTTACAACCCCGAATACCGGGAAACCCCTGATTATTTGTAAGGTAGATGAGTGAGAACCGTTTCAATTCTTTCAAGGAACCATGCATTTAATGCATCCTACTTTAAAAGGTCTTTTCATATGTATCATCATTACGATTTTTGGGAACCGAAACTTCTTTGAGTGTTGTGTGTGAGTGATTTGATGTGTTTGGGGAAACATTTTGCCTTCTAAGTCGTAGTTTTCTTTTAGGAGAATAAGTATTTTCTTCCATTTTTATGAGTATTTCTTTTTCCAGTTCAACAGTTTAATTATTTCGCTTTCTCCCTTTTATTCCCTACAACTGTAAAGTTAGTGCACTATAAACAAGAAAACACATAAAAATATTAGCAAGCCTCAAAAGGATATCCCATTCCTTGGATGGATCTTGATTACTCTTCCCTTACTTCTATTTTCGATAGACCAGGTGATCTTGTGGTGCTTTTGCAGAAGTTGGTTTACCCTCTGATTGGTGAGCTGCGAGTCCTTCTGAGAGCTAAAGAATATGCGACAAGTTGACGCTTGCGTCATTCATTTTTATGAGTGTGTGTTTTTCGTCACAGGCTTTTGTTTCCCTCATACTTCTTTTGAGATAGAGATTCTGAAACATCTGGTCATGGCTCCTTCACAACTTCACCCTTCATGGCAAGCATGTATGAGATTCTACCAGTATTCGTGTGAGTATGTGAAAGTGGAAGCTCCGCACATTTGAGCAAATTTTGGTAAAACAGGATGTTGTGCAAGATGTTCTAATATAAAGAAGTCTGATGAAGAAGACATGTCAGATAAGATGTCATAGCCTGAGTCTCGACATCTTGACCTGATATAGTAGGTTGTTGCTAATCTGGTCCAAGATTTAAGGAGCAAATAGAATATGGACCAAGGAAGAAATAAACAGTTATTTCGAAGCCCAAGACAGCTGAAGGTTATAAAAGAAGACGTAGACCTAGGGATGAAAAAATGAATCCTTGTGTAATACTTGTAAAGTAGAAAATAAGGGTTTAGGATTTTGAGAGTCGTAGGCTTTCTTGTGTTGTAAGTCTCCTTTTGTATCGGTTGGATACATTGTGGTAGACATACATGCTTATATAGACTCATAAACCTTTAGGTAATGAATTGTATATTATTCTCGGATGAAGCTTTGAAGAAAATTCAAGTAGGTTTGTTAGTCAAGGATGCTTGGATGAACTTTGTATTGAAACAGAGGTCTTTCAAGTAGAATGATACACCTTTTGTGACTATAACAGTTAGATATCACACGAAGTGATTAAATAAAGCGAGATGGGTTTCTCTTATCAATTAGATGGGATTTCTAATGATAAAGTTTTCATTGGGTAGTGATAGGTAAACCAGAGGTTGTTTACATAAAATTATACTATTGATAGTGGACTCTTCTTTCTGGCTTGGTAGCCCCCAGATGTAGGTGTTGTTGTTCACCAAACTGGGTTAACATATCTTGTGTTATTTATCATTCTGCAAATTTACAGTTCAATATTTGCTTATTGGTTAACATGTAGTAACAGATGTTGAAACATCTGTCGTGATTCTGTTGCTGATATTTAGAGTGTCATCTTGATTACTTTGCCTTTGTTTTAAAGTTATGCAGAGAAAAATGTTGTGACATGTTGTTAGGACATATGCAATCTGCTATGCCAAAATTTTAGAAAGGAAGACATTGTGTGCATCTCTTCCTTAACCTCTTCAAATGTCTTCGTGACTTAGTGTTCCAGACTAGAGGTAGAGATTACTCCACTTCAAGCCTCTCTCAGAGCTCCTGCCCTTTGAAGATAGGTTCTTCCTAGTAACCCCCATGAACCTCGAAGCTCATGCTATAATTTGTAATGTCGGTAATGGATGGGAAGGAAGATGTGTCGAACTGTTCTTTAAGTATTTGACTGAGGTCACTTTCTGCTATAAAGAATAACTACGTATATACTAAAAAAGATCTCTCTGAAGAGGCTCAGTATAAAAAAGGACAGTTGGTGAAGTTTATAAAAAAGATGGGATATATAAGGGGAGCTACTCCAGTGACGAAGGCTGCTAAGAAACAGTTAAAAACTCTTTTAATTTTTACGGTATTTTAACCTGCATGTCTTTGATGTATATGTTTTACTTGTAACTGCATAATGCATGGTTAATGAAGAGCAACTCCAGCTTCTTAGGCGGGGAGTATGTCTGCTCAGAAATAATGTTGTTGCAGAAAACTTGTCGGTTTCACCGAATGTCCCCAGTCGTACTGCTCGCCCTTTAATGATGGGTTTGGTTCCCGCTCTACTGGAGGTTGTCAACTTTCTCCACTAGATGAGAATTGCGCTTACTTGGCTAACCTCTCCAGGCATAGTCTGAAGAGAGAACTGGGTAATCTGGCTAGGTATGCCCGACGCACTTCGGGTGCTTTGGCCCTTGGTTCATCCGGTCACAGTTGCTACACGAAAAATGACATAGAGTCGCCACCGGATTTTATTTATCCCAAGGAGGGAAAGGGAAATAACGATAAAACCTTTAGGAAAAGAGCATGCTCATCGCAACCAAGTTTTAGGGTTCAGGAGTCGGTTATGTGAGGGGAAGGTATTAGCACCCCTCACATCCATCGTATTCAATGGGAACCTTCTAAGTTGTTTAGCTTGAATGAGTGTTTTTAATCTAAGAGTTTGCTTGCTTAAGGGGGAGAGGGGTTGGTTATTTTATTAAAGTGCTCGCCAAGGATTGTGGCCCTTGTGCCTACGTATCCTCACTTAAAAGAAGTAATGAATCAGAGCTCCGTAGTTCGGAGGCTTGTGAAATGATTGTATGTCGGTTGATTTTATACCTTGAAAAAAATGTTTTCGGATTGATGCCCTAAGGCGAAAATAAGTGTGATGAGTTGATGTTTTTAGGATTTTTGAGAAGAAATTGTTCTTGATTAGGATCACACTAAAGGCTTTGGGTAGAGATGAATATCTCGAATATCCAAGTCGAGCGTCTTGTATTCAAAATATTCGGAACAAGTGTAGGAGGGGTTCCATTCTCATTCCTTCTCCACCACTTTAAAGCCCAAGGTGTGTAAACCTAATCGTATCTTTATTATGTTTTTGCATTTTTTGAGAAAAGTACCACTTGATGTTGGGTCAAGGATTTTATTTCTTACTAAAAAAAGTTTGAGGTGATGCGAACAAGGTTGATGGTGGTGCACAAGGCAATCAACTTACAAGGTCAAAAATGGCTCGAAGAATCGAGAGTTTGTTTTGAAAAGGGTTTTGGCAACACAAGTCGGAATGACATTATTAATATAAACATAAAATGAAATATAAGACAAGATCAAGTTAGTTGGTTTGAGGACACAAGTTAAATTTCACAAAGTTGTACCTTCAAATTATTAATTTAAACTAAGCATGGATATTTAATTAATTAACATTTTAATCAATAAATATAAATAAAATAAAATAAAAACTCTTTTTTTTATATTATCATTTTTTTACCTTTTCACTTTTAATAATTTGAAACACCAAAAAAACTTTAAGGGAAACATGAGGATAGCCAAAATAAAGCATAAAAGCAACAAAAAACAAAAAGCTGAAAAAATGGAAAGAAGTTAGCTGTGCGAACTTCCTGATGAATTTTCCTAGAAAAACATCAATAAGTTCGCTGTGCGAACTTCCTGTCGAATTTGCCCAG